CTCTACATAATCGACCCCTCAGCCGGCGCAAGCATGGAGCGATGTCATAAAAGATTGGGAAGATAGTCCATCGACAGTTCTTCCTCTACTAAGAGAGTTTGTGTGGTTAGATTTTGCCCTTCGAGGAACACGCTTTGCTTATGAACGAACAATTTTAACTTTTAAGCCAGACCTCGCAAGAATCACAAGTGAAAAATAATTGACTATAACATTATAGCATAAATTAACTATTGTCAAAGCAGTAATATTATTCATAGTCAACAATTGCAATTTAATCATATGTATCAGTTTGTTATTGAAGCATTAACTTGTTGTCCGAGGCAAAAAAATTACATGAAATTAATGTCTCAAATAACAAGATGTCACGTAGGATGGTTACTATCGTTGAATACAAATAGCATTATTAGATACAAAATCAGCAAGTACTTCAATTTCTAGCAGGCATGAAACGAGCAACAAGCAAGGTCACACAAACCATGAGTAGACCTCCAAAAGTAGAATTCCAAATTAATATCATCTCTACATGCAATTGGAAAAGCTTCTAATAACAAGTGAATATAAAATATAAAGGCTAGAAAACTACAGAAGCAGAATTAGAAACTCACCAAAATTAGAAGCTTCCTCGTACATTTTGATTATTGGAAGAAAAATTTAATATTGAGACGGGAGGCAACTGTATGGGGGGGAAAAATAAGATTATCAACTGGCAAGTTATTTTATAATCCCACATCAAACTCCAAAAATCGAGCCCTAAATGAATATTCAAGTTATTCAACTTACCCGGTCCTGAGCACAGGCAAATGAGGCCTGTGCCTCAGGCCCAAAACCACAAAGGGCCTATTTAGGCCCAAAGTTTTTTTTTTAATTTTTTAATTTTTTTTAAAGAAGGAAAAGAAAAAGAAAAATAGTTTTTTCTGTGATGATTGAGATATTTGTTTGTTGTTTTAATCTTAAGTTTTAAGTTAATAATATGTTGCATAATATATCGTTGAATTTTACATTTACGTTGATTTTGGGGGCCTAATTTTTGAATTTCGCCTCGGGCCCCGACAATCACAGGACCGGCCCTGCCTATAGCATAATCTTTAGTCGAACATCGTGCACGGACTTCTCCTATATTTTCAAAGTGAAATTTGTGTGAATATTTTGGACCTTTTTGGTGGATTATTGGGATTCTTTGCTGAAGTCGTTGACTCCTCTCCCCACTCCCACTTTGAGCAAACAAGCCCTTAAGTGAAATTGGGAGTTGATCAGACGAAAAACTCCTTTGACGTTTTATTTGTTTTGGCCTTCACAAGACAATTTAAAGGAGAATATAGTAGGGGCCTGTTTGGGCTCGATTTTTTAATCCAAAAAATTGATTTTTTGATCGTTATTTTACTATTTCAGCCGTCATATTTGACTTCTTCTCTCACAGGTGGACCCTACTTTTCTCCTAACGATCAAAAAATTAATTTTCAAAATCACTCCCAAACAGGCTCTAGATATTGACGACAGAATTGTATTATACAAAGTTTGGCTGATTTCGAAATTTTGGGACAAAATAAAAGGTTTATGTGACATTGTGCAAAACTACTAAAGGTCAGGGATAGCCAATTATGCTTTTTGGTTCGAAGTTTAAGCAATGCAAGCAATGTTTGGTTGAGATAAAAATCAAATTATTTGTAAATTTTAATTAAAATTGATTGAATATGTAATTAAAATTAATTGTTGACTTTAATTTAAATTTTAATTATTTTTTTAACTGAAAACAAACCTGAACTATTTTTTATAACAAGAGGAACCAAAGAAAAACTTGTTTCGGCTCAAGGATGTATGCTTGTTTTACAACCTCACCATTTTTATTTTTTATTTTTATAAATTTGAAATTAAAAAAGAATTGTTAAATTAAAAAATTTGTTTATTATCGCCCAAAGCCCTTAATAAAACCCTCTACATTTTCAATTTCACTCCCTACCACAGTAATGGCTCTATCGAAACTCACGTTTTTTACCCATTTATCCAAAACCCTAACTAAACCCTGCCGTTTTCGACTTCCGGCACCGCCGTCCATCGCCGTCCCTCTTCGCCTCTTCTCCTTCGCAACCCCAGAAGAGGCGGCGGCCGAACGCCGCAAGCGCAAGCGCCGCCTCCGTATCGAACCCCCACTGTCTTCCCTCCGCCACCAACAGCAACAACGCCCTTCTCCGCCCTCCGCCGCCCCTCAAAACCCCAACGCCCCCAAACTCCCCGAACCTGCCTCAGCTCTCTCCGGCAACCGCCTTAACCTCCACAATAAGATTCTGACACTCATCCGCGAAAATGATCTCGAAGAGGCTGCACTCTACACGCGACACTCGATTTACTCTAATTGTCGACCGACTATTTACACGTGCAACGCCGTTATGGCTGCGCAGTTGCGGCAGTCGAAGTACTCCGATCTTCTGTCTCTTCACCGGTTCATCACTCAGGCAGGTGTCGCCGCCAACGTCGTGACGCATAACATCCTCCTAACAGCCTACCTGGACTGCCGAAAAACGGATCTTGCTTTGGAACACTACAGGCAGCTCATCAATGATGCACCATTTAACCCTTCCCCCACCACTTACCGCATTCTTATCAAAGGCCTTGTCGACAATCAGAAAGTCGATAATGCCCTTGAGCTCAAGGACGAAATGGCCACCAAGGGCTTTAAACCGGACCCGACTGTTTATTCATATTTAATGTTGGGTTTAGCTAAGAATTCAAACCCGGATGGGATTTTCCAATTGTACGAGGAACTAAAGGAAAAATTGGGACAAGAAGAAGTTTTGGATGGGGTGATATATGGGAATTTGATGAAAGGGTATTTCTTGAAAGGAATGGAAAAGGAAGCCATGGAGTGTTATGAAAAGGCTACAGCTGAAGGTTCACGTATAAAAATGAGCGCAGTGGCGTATAATTATGTCTTAGAGGCTTTGACCATGAATGGAAAGTTTGATTTGGCTGTGAATTTGTTTGATAGGATGAAAAACGAGCATGATCCGCCAAGGAAATTGACTGTGAATTTGGGGAGTTATAATGTGGTGGTGGATGGGTATTGTGCAGAAAAGAGGTTTGGCAGAGCCATTGAGGTTTTCAATAGTATGGGAGAGAAGAGCTGCAATCCGGATACCCTGTCATACAATGTGCTGATTGATCAGTTGTGTAGTAATGGGATGTTGGATGAGGCAGAGGAGTTATACAAGGGGATGAGTGATAAGAATGTGAATCCCGACGAGTATACTTTTGTTGTTTTAATGGACACTTGCTTTAAGGAGAATAGACCAGATGATGCAGCCGGGTATTTTAGAACAATGGTTGAGTCGAAGCTGAGACCGAATCTGGGGGTTTATAACAGGATGGTTGATGGATTGGTTAAGGTTGGGAAGATCGAGGAGGCTAAGTCAATCTTCGATATGATGCTGCCGAAGCTTAGGATGAATGATGATGCATACAAGTTTATCATGAACTCATTATTTGATGTTGGGAGGCATGATGACGTGCTTAAGATCGTGGATAGGATGTTGAGGGAGGATCCAAATGATTTTACTGAGGAACTGGAAGAATTTCTTCAAGAAAGGTTGAGGAAAGATGGAAGGGAAGAGGAGTTGACAAAACTTAAGGAAGATTTAGAAAGGGAGAAGGCTGAGGCTGCAGCTAGGGCTGCTGAAGCAGCAGAAAAAGCTAAGGCCAGTTCTCGACTGGCTCTTTCCTCTTTGAAACTGTTTGGAAAGAAGATTTCTGAAAATACGGATGCCGGAGAAGAGCCACTTGCTGCCACTGATGCTGAGGCCTTGGCTACCTCTGTAAATGGACGTGAACTGGCTGAAAAACAAGAGAATACCGAGGAAAGCTCTGGAGAGATAAAATTTGCTGATGAGGGCGTGGCTGAAGAAGCAATAGAAACTAGAAGCAATGCCGAAACTAAGCAGGTTACAGCATAATTATTAATTAGATTCAAGGGACAATCATTTGTTTACTACTCTGTTACTTTGTTCTCTGAACTTCCTAGTGATGTTTGTGTAGCTCCAGAATCATAAAAATATACAATTTGAACTCGCCATGTGTTCTTAATTCTCATCGCAGCACAAAATAATTAAAAAACTATGAATTTTATGTGATTTGATTCCTCTCAAGCAAAGGCCATGTCCACGTGATTGGAGAAGCCTTTGAATTGAATATGTGAAATATCGATATGAGTTAGAATCCAATGTGCATGACATGACGGGTGGAATCTCATTTGAATCTAGGTGGTAATCATCAGCATGAACCTCAAATAGCAAGAAATGTGAAATTCTGGTTTAAATAACGAGACATCTTGCAAGGCTAAATAATACTTATTGCACTGACCTGAATAGTATGAAAAGTGTGAAATCTATTCTGAATAACACCCTGTTTGGCCCCAATTAATTTTCATTTTTCTTTATTCTATTTTTAACCACATAATCTTCCATAAAATAATATTACACGTGTATTGAAAATTTTTTCTTCTTTTCAGTCACTCATTTCCCCAAAATAGAGGGCCAAACAGGGGCTATGCATGTCATCTTACATGCTAAATACTGTTGGGCGATCGAGGAAATGATAAAGAGAAGCTCCGGAAATCCTGTGGGAATAAACAAGGATCGTCTTGCATGACTAAATACTAGTATACTTTAGGAATGATTGAAAAATTCCTGTCTGAAATTTCTTATGAATCAACAATGATTCATGAGCTTTAGAATTGCACAGCACAACACCTTGGAGATGGTTATATTGTCTGTGACATTGTGAAAAGGGAACACGTTCAACGACCTCCAGAACAGTAGAGAATCAGGGACAGAGGGAATGGTTAAGGACAATTTTATTTGACGTAAACAAGGTAACAGAAAATCAACTCCAAAATGCCAATGTAGGAAACAGTAGTCACAGGTCCCATTTTCTCCCCTTTTGATCAAAACCTTGATCTCACGTACAGAGCAATATCATCTTGAAGGCAAGCAAGAAAAGAGCAAGTCATAAGAAAAGAAAAACATGGTGCTTATTTGACAATTGATTAAAGCTCAATCTTAGGCAACCAATGGGAAGATAAGTTGTGTTTAACATTTTACAAGTCATTCTGTTGCGACGTCTCACAAAAACACGTTAAGTGGATTTTTGGTATACAATATTCGACAAAATTAGACACTATAGTGAAGATGTTCTTAGCTTTTTACCTTTCTTAGTACCTTATTCGCTGTACCAGACATGCTAGCAATATCTTACCATACACGTGTGTCATGTGGATAGACATACGACAGCCCAAAATAACTTCTTCAGCTACAAAGATTTGACATACACACCCCGTCGTCTGAATTTTGCTCTTTCCATATTCTTCCAGTAACTCTAAGCTTCAGCTCCTTGCTGTCCCCACAAGAGAAAAAAAGCGCCACGTTTCTTTGGATTATAAGACCATCATGACTGTCCCTGACCTTTCGGTGGCTATCTCGAATGCTCCGAGGTGTACCCTCCCATATGAGTTTTCGGCCATTTGCTCCAACCTCCAAGCTGTAGCTATAATTGTGAGCTTCGACCTCATTGCCCATAAAACGGATGAATGCCATATAGACAGGAGCTATACCAAGCTGAAATGCTTCAAAGTGGAGGCAGAAATATTGTCCAAAACAATGGAAAACCTAATGAAACAAATACCAGAAACAAGATCACATTACTAATCAACATGTTATTTAGTTTTTACGGAGCAGTAGTTATTAGTTCTATTGAAACGTCAGAAGCAGCTAGGGCACCAATGTATTGTTGATACATCAAAACATGAACTTGACAGCATTGCAACCACAATTTTCTCTTTATTTTTTTATCTTGTGCTGAAGTTCATTAAGTAAAATGGAAAAACAGGAAATGCACTTTATACGTGATAATGTTGTAGGAGACGATACAGATGGGTAGGCATTATTATAAGAGGAAATTCTTTTCTATACTTGGCCCTTGTTTCCCCGTTTTCTAAAACTCATTTTTCCTCGAACTCATTTGCAGCTACATATTTTATGGACCCACAACTTCTATCAACTTTTCAACAATACATTTCTACAACTTTCATTGAAATCTACTAAAAACTCTGTAGCACGGACACTCTAACTAGCGTAGCGTGTCCGTGTCCTCGGACACGTATCGATACCGACACTTTTCGAACACTTTACAATAATTATTTTTTCTTACTGTTATTATATATTTTTAATTCAAAATTATTAGCAAATAACAAATAAGTAATCATATTTAAAAGATTTCAACAAGAAAAATCAATAATAAGTATAAAAATAAATTTATACTGTATAAATGAAGAATTTTAAAGAATTTAATTAACGTGTCGACGACGTATCGTGTCGTTACTTTTTTGAAAAATTACGAGTCAACGTATCCGATACGTATCGTGTCGAACACTCAGTGCATCGTAGACTAAAAAACTGATTTTTATCTAATCCAACAGGGGCTTAATTAACAGTTCCTTGGTAATACATTGTAAGCCTCTGAAAATACCATATGGAAACATCAAATACACAAAGGAATTAATTTAGACTTTGAGTAACGAAAGCCTCAGAGAGCCACAACTCAACGTGCATATGCTATAAATGACAACTGGAAGATCATAATATTCATATTATAACATGAGCAATCCAAGAGCACGAGATGAAACTTACTGTTAGCATCCATGTTGCATTTTCTACTTCACGAGGATTTGACTTTACGTAGCGGTGATTGAATGTACTTCCCGAGTGCATGTCCACTTTGTGATCATCTCTTAAATGAGCAACAAGACAGGGAATGTCACCAGTAACTGAGCACTCAGATCCTGCATACGGACAATTGTATGGTCTGAAATTGCAAACTGCCTCGTGTTTCAGTTTGCTGTAATAGGGAAATATTTCCGGACATCCCAAAGAACAGTACTTGCATGGCAGCTCGAGTGACTCAGCTACCTTCTCTAGTGCTAAGCACCTAATATCTCCAAGCTCTTGTTTGCATGTAGGACATCGGTTATGCACCCTAGTCTTGCAGGTGGAACACAGAGTGTGCCCATTGTGACACTACAAAAGATCAAATTATCAATCAACCAATGCTCATCCAACATTTTTGAAATGTCTAAAAGAGAGTACTTTTAAGTAACTTTTAGTTTCAAACATGATTATGGGCCTGTTTGGGAGCGATTTTTTGACCCAAAAAATTGATTTTTTGAAGTTATTTCACTATTTCAGTCGTCATATTTGACTTCTTCTCTCACAGGTGGACCCCACTTTTCTCCTAACAGTCAAAAAATCAATTCTCAAAATCACTTCCAAATAGGCTCATATATTTTACTTCTTACATTTAAGTAACAAAAGTTAGTTATTTTAAAATTAAGTCTTACCTTGGTGTTCAACTAAGTTACTTATTTTAATCGCTAAATAAAAAAATAAAAAAATTAGGTATTTTAAAGCTTATTTACTTATAAGTAAACTTTTAAGCTTAGCCATACATGCTTGTACCATTCTTTATCCCAGGCATTCCTCCAAAGAAACAGAGGAGAAGTTTTGTAAAACATCAAACAGGTCATAACAATAAACAAACAAAATTACTGAAAAAAGCGACGATGCAAAGATGCATGGTAATTAATTCTATGTTATGAAATACTTTAAATGCATGATGGATGAAGGCCAATTTAACAAATCATTTTGACAAGCCTCACTAGATTACTTATCTTAAAAACACTACATGCATCCAAAAATAGTTAAACAAATCAAATAACAAATTGATTTTCTGATTTGTTCTTTTTATAATTTTTCAACAATAACTACAACAGTTTGAAATTTATGAAGTCATCCAACTCCAAGCAATCACTGTTGCATTTTAAACAGTACAGAAGTAACTGTAGAATAAATTTGTCTATATCTTGAGTAATCATTTCATCCTGATCTATTAAATAATGCAGCCGATATTCTAACATCAATGGTTAAAAACCAAACAATACCAGCAAACATCCTTATCTAGACCTTTTAAGGCATGTTCCATTTGCAGTACTAGAAAGGATTGGACATTACAGTAGACAAGATTTGAGATTTTTCACTATCCAATCCATCTCAACAAAAATGCAATCAGGTTCTTGAAAAGGCATATATTTCACGTTACATTAACAACATCAAGCCAAGATTTATAATGACTTGCAACAAAGAGAAGAAAAACATGATAAATATGCCAAAAGATACTCCAATTTTCTTCTAGTAAAGGTCTAGAACAAGTGGCAAAGCCCCAGTCTCTTAAATCCAAATGAATTACAACTCAACTCAATACATGAATCAAATATAAAAAAAGTTCCAAATTGACTTCCAACAAAATCTAGCCATGAACTCATAATACTATAAAACCTTCAACTCCATTCCCCCATCCCCACCCACAATTACAATATAAATCTACACATATTTTTCATCAAACGCATAACCATCTACCAGAAAAATGTAAAAATTCCCTCCCCACACCCCCCAACAAAAAAAATAAAAAAAAAAAATTTCAAAAGGAGAAAGGGAGAATACCTGATGGATTGGAGGGTACATAGAATTGGTGCAAACCGGGCATTCGAGCAATTCATGGACGCTTGTGGGACCGATCCCAGAGAGAAGTATATTGTGAGGCTTTGAAATTTTTTTAAGAGGATGGTCTTCGTCTTCAATTCCATCTGATGAAGATACACACTCCACGCTATCCATTTCAATTGTTGCCATTTCGAAACAATCACAAATTCCCACTTTCACAAATCTCAGATGCCCAATTCCAAAAACTCAATCTTTAGCAGAGACGCCCAATTAGAGGAATCCACTCTTCTGCAGAAATCTGAGATGCCCACTCTCAAAAGCATCTAATGCAATACCCAATTTGTAAATTTGATATTCACCAAATTTTATTATGCATATAAATGCGACGCCCACTTGGTAAATTTTGATATTTCACAAAAATAGCAATAAATCACTTCCAAACATGTAATCTTCTACAAAATTATCGGATGGCCACTTTGTCTATTCCATAGATCAGATGCCCAATTCCAGACATGCAATGTTTATTCAATTCATATATTTCTGCTTTTTTTCCTTCGTATAATTTTGGTTTCTTCTGTTAGAGAAGATACATTTTAAATAAGAAGAAACTAAAAGAATTTGATCAAAAAATGAGGAAAAAAAGCAGAAAAGGAGGAAGAGATATCATCACGGTTCGATTCAAAGAATCAAACAGCGTATTTTCACGAAAAGAGGTTCTTTTATTCTTCTCTCTCTAGTTCATGTGAGGAGAGAGAGAAACGTGGATCTCCGCTGACTTTGAAAATAATTGAAATTCGGGTAGTAATCCAACGGTCATAATTATTGTTGCTGTAATGATATGTTATTTGTTCGTTGAGAAGGTCATCAAATAAGCTGTCATTGTCAAGAATACTTTATAGTTACTCTGAATAATCAATGAAAATGGAGAGAGTAAACTAAAGGTTGAAACCCCAAACTTGAAAGCCTCGTAGTCCCGTCCTTAAAGTATTGTGAGTAAGGTAAATTTTAGGATGTGTTCTAATAGATCAGGGAATAAAAGTTTGTCCGTACACTGATGCCCACAAAGAGTCTAATTTCATATTCCAAAAATTGAACTTTCACACTACGGCTGTCAACAAGATTGAGACTACCTCACTCCTATCCTTTGAACCATTGAATTATACCCTCAGGACAAATGGAGAGGGTAAACTAGCTAATAAGGGAAATGCTGTGAGAGTATAATTTTTGGTACACAATAGTGTTCACCATGTCACGTGGATGGGGCCTGTTCCAATAAATTATTCGAGTGGACCCCACGTCATGAGGGTGGATACCTATAAAAAATTATGTACAATTATCTTTGTCCAGCTAATAATTGGTTGAGATTAAAAAGTTTATAAAGAAATTTGCAATAATGTTATTTATAATTAGCAACTGGAGTAATCATTCATATGTGATAAATTATTGTTGAGGCATTAGATTGTTATTTAAATCATCATAATTATAGTAAATAAATGTTTCAAATAACAAATTGTTACATAAAATGACTATTGCATTTGCATACTATCATTATAGTTAGCCCCTTGTTTGATTCCATTTTTTATAAGGATGAGAATGAAAAATATAGTCGCTATTGAATCCACACAAGAGAGAAAAAGTCAAATATGGTGGTTAAATGTGATGGATAACGATCATATTTTTCAATTTTTTGGCCAAAGAATGGAAAGCAAACCGGGCCAATGAATAGTATCGTTCGAAAATTGCCGTTGAGATTCCAAATTTTTGAAATATATAGTCAGCTCCAAACTTTTTTATCTTAGTATTTGTATTTCAAACATTTTTAATAAAATGTGCATCCAAAGGATTCCTGAACGATTTTAGTCTAAAAAATCATTAGTTTACGTTGGTAGAGAGCTGTGGCATGGCCATTCATTGAGTGCGTCTTTAAATTATTTTTTATACAAAGATAGTTAAATATAATTTAAGTAATGAAGCATCAAAACTTGCTATTTATTTAGCTCCTGCTTGATAAGAATTAAAATAAAATTTTTAATAAAATTTGATAAAAATTAATAGAATACGTGGTTGAAAAATTGTAAATTCTATGAAATATATGGTTAAAATTAATTATTGACTTTGACTTAAATTTTAATCAATTTTTTAATAGTACCAAAGAGGGTTTAGATGTAATCATATAAAATGTAAATAGAGAGTGAATCTTACTCTATTTTACTTCGAAAAAAACTAAATAAATAGTAATTTCAATATTTGATTCTCTAAAGTAGATATTATTTACATTTAGCCCCTATTCGATGTAGTGAAAAAAGAATTAAATTTTAGTAAATTTAGATTCAAAAAAAAAAAAAACATTTTCCAAATGAAGAATTGAAGAAAAAGTAATAAAAACAGAAGAAATGGAATTCACGTTTGAAAATTAAAAAAGACAAAAAATGAGCAAAATACGACGTAAGATACACATTTAAAATTTGAGAAATGCTACATGTACATAATTTTTTAATTTAATCATTTACCTACTACTTATAATAAGGGGTGGGGGCCACATTTTGGTATTTTTAAATTCACACGAGACCCGCGTGCATTGTGAGAGGAGGACAACTTTCGATAACCCCCATCCGATACAAATAGAAACTTCCTTAAAATATTATATAGAAGTGGAATAGCTTTTATAATTTCAAGAAAAGTGAGTATAGGGGCAACTTTGCCTTGCAAGAAGAGACATTTAGGTTTAGGCGAAAAAATCGAAAAATCGATCAAACCAATCAAACGGTTGATTCGACACAGGTAATTGGTTTAGTTTTCTTTTTAAACAAAACCATGATGGATCGATTCAATTATACTTTGAAGTCTTAAACGATCATTTAACCAAACCAACCCAATCTATTTATGTGTTTACCTTTTTTTTTTATTTAAGAAAAATAAAAATCAAAAGAAAAACTCTAATCTCATAACTATATCTCAATTTCTCCAATCTACGATGTTGTAAGTAATAGTACTGTAAATTTTTTTTTAACAAGCTTATTGTACTTTACTTAGCATTTTTTTTCCATTTTCAGACAGTCATACTACATAATACATAAAAAAAAAATAAATTTTTTAAGTTTTCTGTTGAACTGTCTCTATTAACCTAATTTTATTTTTTAATAAATAGTTCTTATAATATAAAATTATTTGGTTATTTTAGTTCTTGTAATTTAAGTGCACCTAAAAGACTAAAACTTGAACAATTTCTTTTAAATTTTTTAATTTGAACTAAAAGTTCAAACCGAACCAAATCAAATCGAAACTGACTAATTTGGTTTTGGTTTTGGGTTGGAGTCGAAACCGACCAAGACCAAACCGCGCCCAAGCCAAGAGACATTCTTAGCCACAAGAGACTAAATAATTATTAATTATAAGAGAAGTGCTACATGTACATAATTATCTACATAGTGATGTCTATAATTACACATGGCATTGAATCTAACATTTAATTCAAATCTCACACTTACACATCAACAATCGGATGATTGCCACATCACGTTATGGACACGATTATATGCAATAATTATGTACAAATAGAATTTTCCTAATTAAACCCCATGTTTCTACAAATTATATGTCGTGGTCCTGTGGACCATTAATTTCTTTCAAATGTTTTCCAGTTGCCCAGAAGGTTTTACTCTCATAATGGAGAATTTCCTTTTTGAAGAATTGACAGACACTGAGTGGCATGAATTCTGAATTTTTATGTACACCCTATTTTAATTAAATGATATCCAAAATGTATACCACCTTAGAATCTGTCAACAAATGAATTCTGTACAAGTGGCTTGACTCTAAAACATAACTATATTATAGCTGATGGACTATTCAAAACTCTTCTTGCACCGTCGTGATGATTTGATTCATCCGACTTGTATGGATAGCCATGTCTCAAAACACATTTGGTGTGGTCTCGAAAGGACCAGTGTGAATACCCAAAAAGGTATAGCTGAAAATTTAAAATAATGTTATATGTACAACCTTCTTTATCACTTGAATGACATTCCCCTTTGTGTGGAGGAAATCCATACAGTAATGCAATGGATGAGGTTAAAATTAGGGTTAAGGCACTTGACCCGCACCGATGATCACATCATTACATGAGACAAGTGGGTCCCACGTGAATTAATAAATCCCCACCCCCATGTCTGTGTGTGCGGTCATCCGAGCGGTAACTCCCGTGATTTGTGTAGCATAACCCTTAAAATTAAGAGTGTAAATATTACCATGTGAAAGAGTATAATGGACAACGCATATGTAGCATGATTAAAAAATTTATTCCCCAACTCCAAATTTTATTAGAAGGCATTAATTGATGTTTACCTAGGCTTAAAATGGAGTAAAAGTTACTTTCAGTATATGCTTTCTGTCAAGCACCAGTTTTTGAAAGTTTATATATTGATAAAATTACCTTTTTAAAAACTAAATCTCGATCAACGTAACAGAAAACTTTTAAGCTAATCCAAACAATTTTCTAAGGTAATCCAAATAGAGTTACTGTTGATGGGTACAAACTATTACATCAAAAAAATATCAAGAAAGAAGAATCAGATCCAACTTGGACTCAAAACTAATGTCCCTCGCCATTCCAGCCTTAGAAAGATTAATAAAGAAATAAAATTGAATTTTGTGAAAAATTCGCCACTTGGCTCGGCTCCATTCAAACACCATAACAAGATATATTGTAGACACCTAAAGAGCATGTTTGGAAAATTGTACTAGACTATATAGTACCGTGTAATAATAGATGAAAATTTAACTCGTTTTTCTACAGTAATTACATACTGCCAGTGCAACTTACCAAAAGCAAAAAGGGAGTTAATGACAATGAGATCATGCTCCAAGGAAAGCATACATCATTTACAGCAGAGACTTGAGAAAGAAACATAAATAGATGGCAAGTGACTTAGCTAATCTAGCCATGTAAAATTCAAATACGGAGAAACGACAGCGACTCACAATCTGGTCAGAAATTACTTAGTAGCTTCCATTCTCTCTGCTGCAGCTAAACTTCTGTTCTCCCTGAGATCATTATTTTGGGGCTGATTGTCCTGCCTGATATGAATGCTGCACGTATAGGTACCATACTTTTAGTTTTCAATGCAAAACAAAACTGCAGAACTTGTTGCAACAGACAAACACTAAGGTGTCTTTGGTAAGGTGAACCAGACACTACTGGATATGGCATTAAGAGTGAAAAAGAAGCTACTGGATATGGCATTAAGAGTGAAAAAGAAGCTATAATGTGGTTCAGTACAATGTCCAGTCCAGTCCAGTATAACTTTTAAAACAATAGTTCACGAGGAATATAGCTCAAGATAGAAACTGTTAGCTAGTTTTAGTTCCTTAAAAAAAGGATCATATGGTCATTGAAAAGAACATGCAATAGTATGTATTCCTTTTTTGTTGATTACATACAGAAAAAAACTGTGCAACAAGATATTTCATGATTTGGCTGATGGAAATGAGCAAAGCATCTCAATTATTCCATCAGTTACTTGCAAGAGTATCTTGAGGTCACCGAGAGACTCAACAGAGCCCTTATGAACTATTTGGAGTCACCAAATAATTCCTAACTCTCCATTAAGCTCGATCGAGGAATGGTTTTATCGTCAAACTACATGTTGTCTATCTTTTGCAACTACTTGATCTACCACTAGCTTAGGTTTTCACCTTCCCACTACATACTGTTGCAATTATGATATTATCTAAACACAAGTTACATAATATCCACGATTCTGAAAGAAATTCAGTATTTGAATTTAGAATAATTGAGTTTTTTCAAATTACATAACCAGTTTGAAGTCATCCAAAATATACACTTGCTCTCCATGAACCATTGATACAGCGTTCTTTTGACCCCGTAGTTATTAGCCAGTAGAATGCATTAAAAATCATCATACATCAGCTTAATGAAAATTTAACTTCTACTGTCTGCTTGATATTAAATGTCGAAAGCTATAAAGCATGAGAGCTATAGACTGCTAATAGATATGTTAGGTATTACCTGAGCAGTGTATGGTGAGCTTTGACCAAGGAACTGTACAAATTCTTGTTTCTTTATTTCATAGTTGAACTTTGCATGTTCCAACAATGCCTGCTCCCTCTGCATATCTTCCCACATTCTTTCCTTCTTCCATTTTGTCTCCTTCATTCGCTTTTCAGTTTCGAAATAGTTCTCACGTAGTTTCAAAGCTTCAGAGCTTTTTGGGAATTTCACGTCAATGACTCCCCTTAATCAGAAAAACTGAAGGTGAATTTATATTCAACAAAGTTACTATTTGCAATTGAACATAGACAATTATTTCTGATGTGCACAAGTAAACCTGTGATTACTCATCAGAATGAGGTTGAAAGACAAGGCCTCTGGCCTGTCCATCTATCAGAATAAATTAAAACTAAAGATATGCTTTGATTGTGTCATGTTTCAGCAAGATACTGGCAAACATTGTATTAAAATCAAACTTCTTACCGATTGCCTAAGGAGAACACCCCAGGTCTTCTTACCATCCCACCATCAAGAGATACGGCTCCGTTGGTTATACAAGGAAGGGCCTTCAGCATGTCTTCTCTTGATTTATACACTTGCAAAGTCGAGAAGAGGTTATAGAATAGTGTCTCTCTCAGGCCATTCCCAGAATTTGAGATGCAATGCAAGTGCACGCTATCAATTGAGATCATATTCACTGCAAAACCAAGAAAGCCGAATGGAGGTTCTCCATTGGCTAATCTTGGCTTTAGAAGATCGAGCCTCCTCTGTGGGTCTTTAGCTATGAACTCACCAACATATGGACTGAACACACAACCATAAAAGTGAGAATAAAGCAAAATGCGAGTTAAAGCTAATTGATTGATCAACAAAACAATGAGCTCAGATATAGCATACACCTCAGATTTTCGAGACAAAACACCAGAAAGGGACCATCCACTGGCCTCCCAATAAAAGATCCAAGTCCATGAATGCCCGAACTTCTATTTATCAAACCCTGTTTGTCATATGTTTCCAGCGCTTTAACACAATCATGGGTCTTGCAAACCACTGCTAGCATGGTTTCTAACCCCAAGTATGCAGAAAGAAGCCTAGGTTCCAGAATTTAAGAACACATCAGCGATTCAGCCATGTATTAAATAATTACAGTACAATTTTTACCACATTTCTTGACTAATTTTCTAACATCCATCATCCACAAACTAGTGAATTTAATTTCAATTAGTTTAAAATCAATGACACGGATTCCAGGATCTAAGCCACTTGTGATTAAGAATCAGTACTCACTGGCATAATGAAGGAAAACAGGCAGAGAGTCATTTATAGACACTTATAAAAATAATATTCTAGAATTCAAATCAAGTTTAAAAGAAAACAGTATCCTGCAATAAGCCAATGCTAAGATACTTTAAGATAATCCAGTCTATCAAAACTATAGTTTAAGGCTGCGATAAAATTAACACAAGGAAAAGAGATTAGAAAACAAGAACTGCAGAATTGGACTAACCTGCTAAGGTTATCATCATCAACTTTTCCAATTGTAGCAACAATACCGACTATATCCTTTGTCCACTGAAGATTGGAAGCCTGATCTCCTTGATGAGTTTTGAGCTGACACAAGATGGCAGCTGCAGATTTCTCATGCCTAAGAATATGTTCAATTGTTTCTTCCTCACTCTTCATATGGACATGGTTCACATTTTCTGTTGCACGATTTTCTGTATGATACTTGCCAAGAGCAACTAGATGAACATAACATCAGATAATTACTTCAAAATGCAATTCGGACATAACAAGACAGAATAGAACCAGGACGGTAGCCAAACTCAAGAGGAGCCAAAGATGCCGCTAATTACAGCCGTAATGATTTATTTAATAGCTTAGCCATTAGTAAGTTCAGAAAATAGCAGCAGTGTGTGCTCCCTCTATAACGTTAGAAATGCTATAATGAGATTACAGCTGAAGCACTAAGTTGTCCTTGTATTATATATTTCGATATTATCAAATCATCAATAGCTTGACTAAAATATTTACGTGAGTTCTCCTTTTGCAAACATGGAAGTGTAAATGAAATTTGGAAACACGGATACCTTGCATATCTAAAATTGACTCCTCCAATCTGTTTTGCTGTGCCTTTAAGCACTTGATATTGTCTTCATAATGCTTAATTTTTTGACCTAACGCAAGTATATCTTCCTGAACTTTCTGCAACAATTAAATCAACTTGTTTTACTTCGGTCATCATTTTTTCGAGCAATAGGGGTATACTGGAGATGGTTAAATGACAAAGATGACATATTCATCAAAAAACCGACATATATTTGGGAAATTAAGGACAACCTTAGAGTGGTTGACTATGTATTCTGCCTGCTGACCATGAATCACATTTTGCACGTCCTCCATTGAAACCATATTCTGACCAGCGTGCCCCAATGCTGATGGATACGAGACAACCGATTCCCTCGTATTGATTGCATTCTGGAAAAAACAATTGTCACTCTTCAAAACCAGGATGTATACAAGAAGCACTCAAACATACATGTGTGGATATTAAAACATTCCTTGTTGTATTAATAATTCAGAGACAAATTTACGTCGGTCTAAGAATTTTTCAATCCTCATTTGTTATTTCTATTAAGCACCACCCTAAGTCTTAGAATAATTTTAAAAAATAAAATAAAATAACATAAATAAATTAGCATGCACATAAAAAATTCACAGGTGTCTTGATTCAGAAGTGCGTCGAATCATTTAGCAGCAGATGGAAGATAAGGAAAATATAAACTTAGCATGCACATTACAAATTCATAGGTGTCTAGATTATGATGGGAGTCCAATCATTTAAGAGTCGATGGAAAGTAAAAAATAATAATAATAATAAGCAAACCAAATGTAACTGTCTTAATCATTCTCATTACAACTTTCTAATGAACCCAGTTCGCATTATGGTCCTCAAATGGCTATTACCATCCCATAAACAAGGGCAATAAAATTGTTTGTTCATTTCATCATGGTATGGAATCTTGAACAGTGTCTCAAGGAGCCATAAGCCACCATAAGCTTCTCTTGACACTTGGTAAGCCACCCACAATACTACTTAATAGTAGATAAAGGTTTGAGTCAGGCCCAAAATCAGAATGTACAAAAGCATACTCAATTTTATAATATCTACGTTTGTGCTCATAATCTGTAGACTTTAAACCCCAAAAATATTATTTTATTTAGAAAGAATTTTATATAATATGACACTGGGACTGATGCGGACATCCATTTATTATTTATTTTCTATTTGGACTATTAGTTATATTTTATTTGGACTATTGTTTATGTTTTCGTTATTGGACTTGTTTAGTGGATTTGGCCCAAACCCTTCTCTTTAGAGTTTGTGTTCTGCTATTTATTTCTATTTTATTTCTCATTTGAGACAGTTGATGATGAATTAGAATTGAAATATTTTTGGTGGCTTGCAGCCGTTTTCTCCCTCCCCTAATTTCTTCTCCTCTTCTCCCTTTTCTCTGTTTCTCCTCCCCGTTCCTTCTTCTTTCTTTCTTATTCATCCTACATCAAATTTGGTATCAGAGCTAAATCTTGGGTATTTTTTTCTCATAATTCAAAATTTTCTTCTTTCCCTTTTCCCAAAACTTGTTGAACAGCAGAAACGAAAAGGATTAGTTGGAAGATAGCAATTTTCCTTCCTAGGTTAAAAAAAAAAATACTGTTCATTGCGGGTACTGTTACGCCCAGAATTTCAGTTTTGCGATCTGTCAATTTCCATAAAAAAAAAGAAAAAAAAAAAAAACTTTTCCCGGGTACTGTTCACCCGCGGGAAAAAAAAAAAATCCGAGTTGTTATGTTACTGCTGCTACTTCCTGCAAACCCTAATCCATACACACAATCAATTATTAATCCAAACAGCCCATTATAACACCCAGTCAAATATTCTAGTCTCCAAATCATTTAACCCGTTACTCAGACTCAATCTACATCCACATAATCATAAGTAGCCCAAGTCCTAGAGGCCATTATCCACATCTCATATTCAGCCCAATAAGGCCATTACATCAACCCAATTATCCAATCTGGCCAATAACCCAATCCCCAGCCCATTTATCACATATTTAGCCCAACTAACCCAGCCTACTCTCTACGACCCAGGCCCACTCTCCAAACACTAACCCAAACTGGCCCATCTCTATAACAGGATCTAAACCCCTTCCCATTTGGCCCAGTCCCAAATATCCGACCAAGCCCGATTATAATCAATCAATTAACATCAAATACCTCACAGTTTCACCCGATTCCTCTCTCACAACCACTCTCTTGCTGCCATTGCCTCTAATCACCATCACGCTACCACTTCATTATCTATTGTACCCAGGCATCTAGAGCACTACCGCTTCATCGCCATAGGCCACCACCACCAACCCAAGATCATACACTTCCACCACAGTTACCACACTCATATATTTCCTCTTCCATCTCAACAATCTAAAAGCCACAGTCACCACACTCAGTTTTACGTCCACACCAGAGCCAACACAAGTTACAGTCAACAAAGGTTAAAACCATTGGACACGAAGGGAAGAACAGAAGCATAGTTGGGACTTATAAGTTGGCAATTCAAATCAAGCGACATACAAATAATCAAAACTAAACTACAGGGAGTTGCTATCTCCTAATTCTCATTGATTTATACTGCTATTTTATTTTAAAAGTGCATCACTTAGATTCTTTGTGTTGCTGTTACTATCACAAATTTGGCCTCAAACTTCACTTGACTGGAATCACTCATTGAATTGACTTGCCATTGTTGCCCCATTTATCTCACTGAATTGATGTGCCATTGTTACCTCTTTTATCTACCTGATTGGAAATCTTGACAATACCATTTGATCTTAACAAGCATTGGACCATTGCTTTATTATTTACAAGCATCAGCACTATTAATTTGCATTTTTGGAAGGGAAGAAAAGAGAGAGAGAGAGAATTTCAAATTGATGTTTTAATCGTTGGTCCTTGATGCATATTGGTCTCTCTATTGCATTTCATTTAGGTAGTATTGCTTTGCATATAGTTACATATTGGTCATCTTGTCAGTTCTAGCTCTAGTACCTTAAACATGAACCCCTCACAATTCGATGCACTCACCCGACAAATAGCGGCTATTCAAACTCAAATGACTGCTACTCTTGAAGAGAGTAAGGCCCTATCTGTTAGTTCGAAAAATTTTAAACATATCCCTCATTCGATTGATGTTAATAATTTTAAGGTGTCCCATAATAGACAACATCGTCGACAAGATAATCAAAAATACTTTCGACCCAATCGTAAGGATAGGGATAGGAATAGGGATCAGATTCGTGAGCGAGAACGAGATAATTTTGAAATTCTTACTCAATGGAATACCCTTAAACAAGGAAATCAATTAGTGACTGAGTATATCGCGCAATTTGAGGAATTTCGAATCAAATGTCATTTAATTGAGGATGAGAGCACGACTTTGAGTAGGTTTAGCCAAGGTCTGAGAGATGATCTTAAGCGCGAGCTTTTCCTTCGAGGTGTCACTACTCTTGATCATGCTTACTCTTTAGCTCGAGATTATGAGTTGATTATTAGTACTCCATATGAAAAGCGTGGTCATCGTCGCTCACCCATCTCATTAGCGTCACCTCATCATAAGTCTATCATAAAACCGTCTCCGTCTAATGTTCCTCCTATTTGGAAAAATAATTGTAAAGGTCGTGATAGTCCACAATCTCCTTTTCCATGTAGAAAGCATATTGACAATCATCCTTCGGTGTCATTGGCTCCAATTCCTCCCGTTAAGTCCCTTCTAGGGCCTCCCCCATCTGATGTTCATCCAATTTTGAAAAATAAGGGTAAAATTTTTAATAATCTTCATTTGGCTTCATTAGCTCCACCTCCTCCCGTTAAGTCCCTTCTAGGACCTCCCCCTTCTAGTGATTCTCTAATCTTGGAAAATCAGGGTAGAATTTCTGAAACTCCAAGGTCTTCTTCTCACTTGTTGTGCGTCAACTGTAAAGACTTTGGCCACATTTCTTCCAAATGTACTAATCGAACCTTAGTCATGGAAGAACGAAAGAATGTAATAGATATGCCATTTGAAGATCTAGTCTATGAACCTAAACTTGAAGATTTTGATGACTTCGATGATAGTGAGGACATTTCTTTAGGTGGACTCCAGACTCTTCCCGAGACTTTAGATACTATACCCTTTGTTTCTGACAGCTCTCGGTCACATGTTATATGTCATACCCTTGCACAACTCAAAGAGTTTGATGATTTCGCTGGCTACCCTTGGAGAATCCAGTCGCCTGTGGTTAGCATTAAATCAACATTCCCCACTACTGACCAACTTCAAACTGATGGTCAAAATGAAGTCGTTAACCAAAGTCCTGGCAATTTATTCAAGTCTCTAGTCCAGAAAAATCTAAAAAATTGGGACTTGATTCCCCCAACTGTTCAAATTGCGTATAACAATTCTGTAAATCGGTCTCTAGGTTTGAATCCATTTGAAGCTGTTCATAGTTATAAATCTAGACGGCCGTTAGACCTTATTTCCATGTCCCCACATGCTAGTGTGTCGATATTAGTTGAAGCATTTGTGCATCATCTTCATGACTTGCATATTAAGATCCATAAACAGCTTCACGCAAGTAATGCATTATATAAACTTCAAACTGATTTGCATAAACAATATTTTCAATTTTATCTTGAGGATTATGTTATATTGCAAGCCGGTAGTGCTGGTCCTTTTAAAGTTTTAAAGCATGTTGGTCCATACGCACATGTCCATTTTGGCCACCACTCTACTTTACATATTGAAGACTTAGTTACTTACAAAGGCATTTTTAATTTCCTTGATAATCCTTTTCTACTTCCTTATGTGGATCCCCAACCTAAATATATTACCATTTTCACTCCAATAATACATGTCACAGCACACAAAGATGTAATTGATGCTATTTTAGATAAACAGGTTGTGTTGACCAATGAGGAAGATTTTGGAGATGAGTGGCATGAATTTTTACTATTCGGAGTTCAGTATCGATATGTGATTACAAAGAAAGATCGTCCTCCTTGGTTGGATCATATCCTTGAGGATAAGCTGCAACTATCCCTGTTATCATTTATGGAGTTTCGGTATTTGGTCATCGAGAAAGATCGTCCCCCATGGCATGACTTGGAGCCTTTCGCATCAAATTCAGTGCAACATTCTGCTTTATCTACTCGATGGGGTCGAGTTTTTCTCCCACCCCGGGAGAATTGATGCGGACATCCATTTATTATTTATTTTCTATTTGGACTATTAGTTATATTTTATTTGGACTATTGTTTATGTTTTCGTTATTGGGCTTGTTTAGTGGGTTTGGCCCAAACCCTTCTCTTTAGAGTTTGTGTTCTGCTATTTATTTCTGTTTTATTTCTCATTTGAGACAGTTGATGATGAATTAGAATTGAAATATTTTTGGTGGCTTGCGGCCGTTTTCTCCCTCCCCTGGTTTCTTCTCCTCTTCTCCCTTTTCTCTGTTTCTCCTCCCCGTTCCTTCTTCTTTCTTTCTTATTCATCCTACATCAGGGACACTATTCAAAACGATATTGACACCACTATTACAATCCTTATTTTCTCTCACACTCACGCATACACCACTTGTACCTATATTTCTCCACTAACACTTTCTCTCTCCTGACCACACACATATATGCTTCAGTTCTCTCCTATATCTCTCATTCACTTGCACTCTTTCATTCATGGAACACAAAGCCCAGAACCCATATTTATAGGAGCGAAAATCGGTGCATATAATTCTAGATTTTTCTCATTGTGGTGGCGATGAATGTTGGTGGGCAGCTTTCAAAAATTTCTCTAGATTATTCTTGCTTTGGCAGTTGAATAATTAAATTCCAGCAGCTTTTTGTATGTCAGCAAACATTGGCAGTGGGAAGTGATGTATCTTTAATTCTCCCTTTCAGCACCGACTCATTGATTTAACTCTTCTCTTTTTATAATCCCCGTGTTCTAAACATTTCAAATTTTGGAACACTGAGTCCTTTCACCAATACATGTGCGACTTGATACCTAATGTTTACGTGCTTCAAGTCAATCTCCCCTTTACTTTTCTCTAACGAAATGATAGTGTCCTTCGACGTGCTTAGTTCTTGCATGGCACACTAGATTTTCTGATATATGAATAGTTGATTGGTTATCGTAATATAATTCCATTGGCTTACCAGTTGATGTAAATCCTTCATCAATTGTGTTAGCCATGTACTCTCTTGAGCTGCTATTGCTACCGCTCTATCCGCCTTTGCTGTTGACAAAGACACGGTTGGTTGTCTCCTATCGCACCATGATACTGCAATTGACCCAAGATTGAACTTGTAATCCGTTATCGATCCTATTGTATCTCAACATCCAACATAGTCCTTATCACAATAGCTAACGACTTTGCAATCTTTTTTTATTTATATAAAGTAGTCCATAATCAATTTTCCCTTTACATACTTAGGATCCATCACACTACTTCAAGGTGCAACTTTTTTGGCTTTTCCATAAAGCGGCTTGCTATTCCAACTGCATATGCAATGTCAAGTCATTTCAGTGTCAAGTAGATTAAGCTCCCTACTAGCTGTCGATACATTGTTGTATTCTCCAAATCATTGCCTTCAACTTTACATAGCTGGGGTTAATCTTGATTGAAGTGGATATTGATTTATAATCGATCATTCCAAACTTCTATAAAATATATCTAGCGTACTTATGCTGGCACAAGAATAACCCTTCTTTTGTTCTTTCCATCTCAAGTCCCGAAAAATGATTTAGCTCTCCAAGCTCTATAATTTGAAATCTCTCAAATAGATTCTTTCTGCTTTGCTAGATTTCATGTTTGTTGTCTCCAGTGATGATAAGATCATTTACGTACACTAGCACTATTGTTAGTTTTCTATTTTGTATTTTGACGAATAAGATCGAGTTTGCTAGTGCTACCGAGTATCCACTTTGAACTAAAAATTCGGCAATCTTTTCATACTATGCTCGTAATGCCTACTTTAACCTATAGAGAGCTTTCTTTTGCTTGCAAACATATCTTGGTTTTTATTTATTCCAAATCCCTTTGGTTGCTCCATATATATGTTTCAATCAAGTTCTCCATGGAGAAATGCATTTTTCACGTCCATCTGCCACAGATTCCAAGACTTGTTTATTGCTAAAGCTATAAGCACTCTTACTGAGTGCTTTTTACCACTGCACTAAATGTGTCATCATAGTCCAGACCATATTGCTGTTAAAATCCACGAGCTACTAGCCTAGCTTTGTATCTTTCAATTGATCCGTCGGGATGTTTCTTTACTTTGAATACACATTTGCAAGATATAAGCTTCACTCCATCAAGCCTTGGCATCAAATCCTAAGTTTCATTTTAAATTAGAGATACGAACTCTTCTTCCATTGAATTTTTCCACTCCTTGTGTTGGATAGCTTCTTCAAAGGTCTATGGCTCTTTGGCACTATTATCTTCTTCAAATGCAGTGTTAACATACTTGGGGTTTGGTTTCCTTTGTCTAGTTGATTTTCTCAACTATGGTTGTGGGCTCGTTCGTACCTTAACCTCATCTTGTTAACTCGGCCGTATATTCTCTAATGTTATCTGATGCATACCCATCCGCTAAGGAATTTGTATTGGCTAGTAAACTCCTGCTCATCACTTGATTGTTGTACATCTTTTGTTTCCTTAAGACTTTGTTGTGCTTCTGTGGCCTTCTCTTGCAAGTTGTCATCTATTTTCTTTGAATCTAGAAGCTCCATCTTCTGTGGTGTCCACCATGAAGATGCTTCGTCAAACACCACGTTCCTTGATGTGTAACAACGATCGATTTTAGGGTCTCCATCATTTTCTGTGATTGTCATACCCTACAAATATACACCTGATAGCTTTCTTATCAAACTTGCTCCTCAAGTAACCATGCACAAACCCACAACACACATAACAGACACAGCCAAAGACACGAAAGTGACTGTTAGCTTCATTTTCCATAGTTTCTCAAATGGTGACGTGAACCCACCTTTGGTTGTGGTAGCTTGTTGATCACATGGGCTGCTGTCCTCATACACTCTGCCCAAAACCTTTCTAGCACATTCTTTGCGTGTAGCATACTTCAACACGTGTCTGCAATGTGTTGATTCTTCCTTTCTGCTACGCCGTTTGTGGTGTGCTTGGACATATCAATTGATGGTGTATCATATATTCTCTCAAGTACTAAGAAAAATCTCTTGACATATACTTTCCTCCATTATTTGTGCATAGGACCCAAATCTTATTTTCGACTTCTTCTATTTTTTCTTTGAACTCTTTAAATGTTGTAAATGTCTCGGATTATTCTTTCTAAAGAATACCCAAACATACCTCATATATTTAGATACCAGATGAATCAATGAGTGACGAAGTCATCGATGATGTCACCATGTAGGGCATCCCTCGATTTGATGGTTGCTCGACAGGTCCAAACACATCAAAGTGTATCATCTCCAATGGTTTCTTTGCTCTATAACTTGACTTTTGATACAGTAGTTGATGTGCTTTATCATATTGACAGCCAGCACATACCATGTCATCTCTGATCTCGAGTTGAGGAAGACCCTTGAGCATTGACTTCTTCATCATCACCTTCAGCTTGTGATAACTTACATGTCCTAGTCTCGCATGTCATAAATCCTTTGTCTCGTTCTTTCAAGTCTTATCTACGTAAGCAAACTATGCTGACATTACATAGATGAACTCTAATCTCTATCCCTCCATTATAAGTGTACTCGAAATTTTGATATTTTGATACACCTTGACATCTTTTGGTCCAAATAGAATATAGTTACCTGGTGACGTCAACTGCGCCTTAATAGGAGATTTTTCTTCATTCCTAGCACATGATGAAGGTCGTTGGGTAGCTTTCCAAAATTTTTCTTGATTATTCTTGCTTTGGCAGTTGAATTATTAAATTTCCAGCAGCTTCTAGTATGTCGACAAACATTGGCAACGGGCAGTGATGTTTCTTTACCCCCAACCCCACGAAGAAGAAGAAGAAGAGAAATACATATATTATTTTGAAATGCAGTAAAATTTATAGCATTAGAAGTTGGCATAAGCCTGGGAAGACAGAGAAATCCAATTCAAGAAAATCTTAACTTTGACAAAAATATAAAAGTTCTAGTTTAACAACCTAACTCAAGAACCATTCAACAAAAGTCATAATTTCCTAAATGTTGTTTAAATAATTCAAATTCCCCTATATTGAGACACAATTTTGGTATAAAACTCCAATTCCATTAATAAACATACAACCAAAATAGCCATAAAAATTAAAATATATAAAAACATGCACCAAAGGAGTCATAATTTTGTTTTCTCCATACCACATTTTAACATTTCTAAAACCCATGCCCACATTTTTAACATTTTCAGAAATATAAGGGCTGAATTTCGCATAAACCTCCAATTCCGCTAATGTTTCACATACAACTACAATTTCATTAAAAAAAAAAAAATTGTAAACGTAAGCACCAAAATAGTCAAAATTTCAGTTTCTCTGCGCCAAAATTTCTAGAACCCCTAAACCCCAACCCTCAAACATCAATTTCGACACTTACTCACATGCATGACTGCATTCTCAATTTGAAACTCAGCAAGTACACTCACAAATTTGAAGGAAAAAAAAAAGAGAGATGTGAAAATCTGTCAAACCCATTTTTCATATACAAATTCCCCTATACTGATGCAGAGTTTTCCCATAAACCTCCGGATTCATCAAATTTTCCCATAAAACGACAATTTCTACACAAGATATGCAATACCAAAAAATCTTAATTTCAGTTTCTGTCCACATTTACACATTACTAAAACTTCTGAATCCTCACTCTCATATCATCAATTTCAACTCTCACACACCTAACATGCATGAATGTGTTTCCAATTTCTAGTGTTGCAAGAACATTCATAGCTGTATCGGAAAAACTGTGTAAGTGGTTAAACCCTTTTCATTTACAAATTAAACATTTACGAGAAAAAACAGAATCTAATCTTATTTGAGAAGAAAAACACGCAAGTGCTGCACCTTGGGCTGGACGTCCATCGAGATTCTCAGCCAGTATCCGCCGAGCGCCGCCAGTCGCCGGTTGCTGGCTCTACCGAGTAGTTAGAGACTGTGTCTATGGAGAGGGAAAGGGGGAGTATTTTACCACACAGTGAGAATATTCAGAATTTTACATCGTTTTACAGCGTGTTTCACCCGCTTAAAAGCGTGCTGTCTCAGCTCCTACTTTTTAGGGTAAAAGAGCAGTGGTCCCCAACTTTAAACCATTTGATGATGAGGTCTTAAAGTTTTTATTTCTACTGGTCACTGCCTCAAACTTTTCAAATGTACGTACAGTCCGAGATCCTTTTATAATAAAAAAATGCCGATTTGACCATTGAGATGTCAAATTATGAGTAAAATTACCATTATATCCTCATTTTACATTTATTTCAATTTGGGATTCTTACAATTACTGTGGTAAAACCAAACGAAAAATTTGGAGACTTCTTGTGCTTTGTGATATACTTCTCAAGCTCATCTTTGTTGGCTCCAAGCTCCCTCTCCACTTCCTTCCCTTACTTAAATGGCATGAATGTCGACATTGCATACACACCAAATCCTTCGCCACATCGAAGAGCTCATCGACGTATATTTTGTTGAAGTCAACAGCAGTGTGCTTGAAAAACATGTCATTAAAGACCGACTCCATGACCTTGTAGAGGCCACATCGATGTGGAAAAATCCATCACAATCAATTTAAGCTTGTTTGAAAAATGTTCATAAACAATTTAAGTTACAAACAAATAGAATTGAAATGTAAATTAAAAAAAAAAAAACGTCTTCATAAAATTAACCAAATGAGTCCAAAGTACCTTCTGAATATTAAAAACTCATTTTAACTTTTCAAAAGACATGTAAATGAACCCTTAGAATTTTCCATAATATTATTAAAACATAAAGAATAGGGTGGATTTCAACCTAGAAATGGGACTCCAATATATCGGTAGATGAAAGGGATGGTCAAGGCTTTCTATTTCCACGTGAGGCAAAACACAGATGCTAAGCCTAAATTATAAGCATCATTCTGCCACCTTCGCTCTTCCGTTGTGCACTTTAATCCCATTCAAACAACAAGAGCGCACTCACTTACCTGTGAATTGGATGGTTGTATATTGTTGGAATATAGCAAATGGGGTGACTTGATGGGATTTCATAATCCAATCCTCGATTAGTTTTCTTTCATATATTTCAAATATTAAATCTTTTTAACTTTATCTTGGCATTGGTTAGTTGTAAAATGCATACTTGTCGACTAAGTTGAAATCCTCGACTGCTGTAGTCGAAGCACAGAAATTTAGCTTATGATCATCCTAATCAGTATTACATATAAGATACAAAAAAGGCTCGTGTAAATACTGCCATACAAGGTGCCAATATTGTCTCAAGTCTAAAAAACTTCTGAAAGCTGCAAAATGCATTCTTCTACTCAAACCATCCCATTTAATATCTTTAAAACAAGTCTTCAACCTGTTCCTTTCACCTAAACCATACACACATATATATAAACATATGTTAATCCTTTATCAACCAACCAGTTGATTACTATCTGGTAGCTTGGCTACTGGAAGTATGTTGTCTGCCAAATATAGAATAACTTGTGCATAAACAAGGAGCTAGACCAGCACTGTTAATCATTCCCGTTCATTCTTACACGACTTGTTTTCCAAGCTTCGAAGCACAGATTCATTTTCATTCAAGAATTGTGCGTACCTATCTCGCTTCATATGAAATGTTTCCAAAGTTCTTTGCAACTCTCGATTCTCTTCGTCAAACTCGTTGTCTATCTCTCTAAGCTCCATTTGTTTTTCTTCTATTACAGCTGAAAAATCCACAATAAATAAAGGTTCAGATTAACATTCCAAGTGCATGTTTGGTACGCCATATTCTATATGGCTCGACAATGATAAACAAGCTTTTAGATCTCTTACCAAAGATATACTAAGAGTTCAAATTATCACTACTATAATTTTTTTTGGATAGTTAGTGTCACAAATGATTTGTCAAAGAGGAAAATTTAAAGGAAACAAGTATTACTAACCTGTTGATGTGAAGGGAAATGATAAAAACAATACGTATTACCAGGCAAACCTAACCAGAATAAAACTTGGGAAAACTCATCACATTGATAAAACAAGTAGAGTCTAAAAAAATAATCCGAACATCCAAAATTTTAACCTTGATGGAGATCACGCCACACTTATTGATTAGGAAAAAAAAAAAAAAAACAATTGTAAAAGCAATCAAGTGGTAGATTATGAATCCCACGCCTGTCTAAGGATGACACGTACTAGAATTAAGTGTAGATATAGATCAAAGTTATCAAAGCTAAAACCTTGAATTTGAGACTTCCGATATTTGATCCATTCCAATTTCCTTTCAAGCTCGCCAATGCACAAACCATACTTGCAAAGATCTTCCTCGAGCTCCTGTAGAGAAAAATCTCTTTAACAAATGGGAAAAAAAATGTAAAATAGGTAAAATAAAATATTTATCTGAAGAGTTTCTGTAATGGTAGTGCCCAAGTTTATGCTTTTAAAATTTTATAATAGGCAGAATGCAGGTAACACCTCTAAAATATAGGTTTTGTGAATCAGAATACCTTTTGGTGAAGGACGATGCTCCCAGATGAATTTCCCCAATCCTCAGAAGCCACTGAGTCCTGAAAGCACGATATCTTTCCTTGTAAACTTTCACTCTGGAGATTATATTGGTTCACCTTTTTTACCTTCGATGAAAGTGAATCGTAAAAAACCATTAATTTTCCAACTGAACTCTGGGGCGAGAAATTTTCTTGCTTCTGCTCCAATTTGGGAACCTTCAAGGAAGGTGATACCTGCAGCTGCAATGTATTTCCAATTGATCTTTGCAGCTGGACTCTATTTTCCACTAATCCCTGCTCCACATGAACCTACATAAATGTATTCACATACATAAGCATACGACTCTTATCATTAAAAAAGAAACAAGGTTTAGGAAATGTTGCAACCTCTACATTTAAGTTTAGCTCTGGATAACGAGAGTGAGCAGCTGTAAAGGAGAAAATTCCTGCTCTCTGAGGGAGACGAATAGAGCGAATGCAACATTGTCCATGCTGGAAGTTGTAGCGCACAGAATCATCAATATCAAATGAATCTGACTTTAACATAAGAGTATGAAACTGTCCATGTTCATCTTCACTATGGATACTTCTATCCACTTCTCCTTCAGAATTAACGATCTTAAATACAAGATTGTCCAGTTGAGATCCAGCAACACACTGCTTTAGAACCTGATATTTAGGAAACATAAAATTATATTATGTTTCAAAAGCTTGGACTGTTCAGATATTTTCTTGGTGGAAAAGAGGAAAAAACAACGAGGAAGAAGAAAAAGTGTACAAACCGTTGAAGCTGTTGTCAGCCTTCTCATTTCAGTTCGAAACTCTAACTTGTAGATGACTTTCTCTTGTAAAAGTACAGAAAGGGAAACTGTATATGGAAAGAATATTTGACTAAATTACCAGAGCAACATAATTTTTCTAAAATATAAACGTAAAAATCATTTCAAAGTACTTGGCCCAAAATTTGGTATTTAAACAAAACGTGATAGGTAAAAAGAACAAGTGAATTTTTACCTTTTGTAGTGCTTGGCCTACATACACAGGCAAATATGAGAAAAAATTATTAATAATAAAGGAGAGCATAAAAGAGTTGTTCTTAATCCCTAACACATAATACCCCCGAAGTATTTGTTCTGAGCGATACCAAGGAAATCAAAGCTCGCCAAAAAGATAGCTCTCAAATGCTACCACCGAAATTGAGATGAATTTAAAGCTCAAACGGGACTCCAATATATAGGTAAACGAAAGGGAGGACAAAGACTTATTATTCCAATGCGGGAATAAACAAAGTACACCTGATTTAAAAGACACCAAGTAGCATTTGAGGTTGACAGCTAGGCAAAAAAATTAAACAGAAAATAATTATGAACAATGGCCTCAAATGGTTTCTCCACAATCCCAAAGTCGAATAAGGACATTCCTAAGAGACGATAACAAAAATTAGACGAGGCAAATGAGCATGAAGCTTAAAACCGTCATGTTTGGAAGATGAAAGAGCATGCCTATTTAAAAGTGGATCAAAACAAAAGCAGAAGCTGCATACCATGTTTATCGTATCCCTTAGAAACTTTTAAACTGCCGCTCAGGTCTACACACCCATGATCATCTACCTGTCAGTAAAAGGAAGACATAGTTAAGGAAATTGAATATTAGAAAGATAAGAAAACTTAACAAGTGGAGTTGATAATAAGTATTCTAAAGTGATGCGATAAAATAGTTCTTATTTACTTAATCTTTGAAATTTTTTAAAATGCTCCATCATTTGTCGCATTATGCTGCACTCTAAAATAGCATCAGACTTCAAACTGTTAGAAAGTGTTAATATTTAGTCTTCAACTTGTCTCCTCACTCAAAGGCTGGATTATTGTCTTCTTAAAGGCATGACATGTATACTGTTCATAATTTTCATGAACAGGTCAGATTGAGGTTGAACCAGTGTCCTTGTTTGCTCTTCTACTATATCAAACCACCTAAATCCAAAAGCTTAACAGCAATTGAAGCGTGTAAAATTTAGTCTTCAAACCATCAAAATGATTTCTACAAAATATAAATATATTCTGATATCTATTTCTTACTTTCGGACAAGTATTTTTGCTCCAGTAAGAGAGCTCCTTGGTCAACGTATGAGACTAAGAATCCTATTGAAGATCTTCCAATATGCTTTGAAAGACCAGTATAAAATGCCTGTTTGACCTACCTTACAAACATATCCTGCTTTATCTAGAAAAATAAACCCATCGGCACGCAACTGGATCACCTCATCTTGCTTGATATGATTACCATATGAATCAAACAGCTGCGTAATGGAAATTATTTACAGTGTCAATAAAGAATATTGCGATATATCAAGCCAAAAATTTCGCAGAGATGTCAAAACAAAAATGGAAGAGTACAAACACGATATTGATGTGGACATATCAAAAGAAAACTTGTGTTTAAAAACTATAGAATATTGTAAATAATTAATTGACAATCTACCTATAACATGAAAATTGGAACTCACAGAATTAACACGCAAATACCAATCATCAATAAAGTTTCAAATTAACATATTCATTCC